CCCCCCCCTCTGATTTGTTGGGTAGGTCCAGTATCTGTTCAGAGTGTTCTGTAAGCTTCAGCCTGGTCTTCCTGTACTGGCACTCCATGGCAAGCAGCATCAGATGAAGAGAATGGAAGTCTACACTTGTTTTGTTCGGAAAAAGGCAGCGGTACTTTTTGCTACAGATATTGCAGCTCGTGGCCTGGGTATGTACCTGCAGAAGCAATATTTATTCACAAAGTGCTAATGTAACCCTATTGAGACTTTATCAGACTTTATGCTCTGAAGACCAAGCTGATTTGTAAGAAATGAAGCTATAGTTTGCTTAAGAGCTCATTAGGGTATCTCAGAAGAGATATGCTTCTGTTCTTTACTGAAGAGGCACACTTGTGCTTTTTTTTTTTTTTTTTTCTCCAGAAAGATGTATATTGTCATTAGTTTTGTAATGGCATTTGTTAGTCTGGTAGTCAGTAGAACCTTTCTTTCCACCTGTCTTTCCTCCTCTAGTTTTTCCAGCAATATTCTGTGACAAATATGTGCAACAAGAGAAAATGGAAATAGTGATGCATTTGCTTACTACGTGCCTTGAGGCAGTATTTCAGCGGCTTGAAGTATTTCTGATGTTCCTGAATCCTGTGGGTTATTCCAAAGGGTATGAAAAATTACTAACCTACCAGGATGTGGAAATGAAAACCTGAAGAAATTTTAATGTCTGAACTATGAATGGCATTATAGGTCTGTACTCTTAAGTAAGCAGAAAAATTGATGAGGGAAAAAGCAAGAATATTTATAGGACCTGTTTTGGCTTGAGTTTCTTTCCTCTGGTCATTATGCGCTGAATTATGACTGTTTTCAGGAGTTTACCCGTTCTTTCAGGTAGCAAACTCCATTGTCCAAAATGTAAGGTTTTGTCAGTATGCTACAAAAGGAAGGTGCTCTAAAAACTGAAGGCAGAAGTGAAAACTGTTTATCATACCTTCTACACTGCTGAAATCTCACTGGTGAGGATCTGATGTGGGTAACCATACCTCCCTAATTGTGGAATACTTCCTGACCAAGCCTGTAGCTACGCTGTAACACAGACTTAGTCCGATGCAATGCATGCTGCTGCTGGGTGAAATACAGCAGTTACTAAATGCTTATTAATTATATCATTCACATTCAATGTTGACTTCTTTGTGAGGCTTGGTCACCTCCTCCTGTCTTTGAGAGGGACTATGATATTCTGTATGTGGACAGCTGAGGTAATGTTATCTTGCCACAGCTAACTTCAAACCCTGGTGGTGTAGGATATTGATACTCTAGGTAAAAAGTGGGTCAGATATGATTATTTAATTATTAAACGTAGTGGTGCTTTATCATCTGTATGACACAAAGCATGTCCCTTCTTGTCAAGTGTGAAATTTTTTCCATTCAGTGCACTGGCATAATTTAGGAAATGAAGACACCATTAATTTTAGCTTGCTTTGATGAAGAGGATGATTGCTTATGATATGATAATACATGCAATTAATTTTATTTTTATTTCAGAGGTTGCACCCAATGTCTGTAAATTGGTCTAAATGATGGTTCTTACAAGAATTAATGCTCCAAAATAATACGTTGCTCTTGAATTGGAGCATTTTGGGTATGGTGAGCTTAAATTTTGACACATTTTTTTCTTTACACAGATTTTCCAGCAGTGAACTGGGTCATTCAGTTTGACTGCCCAGAAGATGCAAACACATACATCCACAGAGTGGGAAGAACAGCCAGGTTTGTTTTCACTTTTCATTAATATTTTAATATATAAAACTAGATCCCTAATAGGGACAGATAATTGGCTAAAGACTCACTTGAAAAAAATCAAGGTATAAATTGAAAAGAAAGAAAGGCTGTCATCACCAAAAGACCCTTTCAATTACTTATGAGTAATGGTTTGACATAATCATTTCTTAGTGAACTTCAGAGACACCTTAGACCAGACAGAAAAAATATCCCTAGTTTTTTAATCCGATCAGGGAAGATTAATATTGAGGAGGCAAAAATCTTCCTTTGCACTTGGCAGGTTTACCTTAAAGGCTGAATTGAGCATGTTTGTGAGTGGAAGAGCTTGTTTTGCCACCACCATTTGTAGATAAATAAGACTTTGTGGATCCAATTTATTTGTGTCATTAAAGACTCTTCAAAAGAATGGAAATATTACTTCCTTATTTTAATTTGGGGAGGAGGGAATCAAATAATGCTAATTAAAGGTTAAATTTTTAATTTTCTAAGTATTTTGTAGAATTAGATTCTTAGGGATATCTTTATTTAAAGTATTTGTGTCTAAGCCTTTATGACAAAAAGGAGTTACCCAGATGTACTGTTAAAAACCTGGTCCTTGATCTCTGAAGCAGGTTTTTAAGAGAAACGGGAGTTGTTACTGCGTATAATTCAGTAGATCAAAAAATTTATGCAATTATCTGAAGGATGAAATGCAAGACCTAGCATTATATCTTGTACATAATTTAATTTTTTTGTAGTAGGGTTTGCAATATAGACTGTTGTCAAACGTAATGACAGAGCAGTTGCTTAGAATAGGAGTTCAGCGCTCTACGCTTGCTATAAGAATTTGGTAGCTGTCTTCCTGGATCAGATGGCATCAAATTTTGGTGACTGTAACAGGAGCGTATGCTTCCAGCCCTCTTTCAGAATGTGGAAGTTCTAGCTATGTTTTCACTGTAATTGGTAATATCTGCCCTATTCTGTCCTGTGTTCTCCATTTTCTATACACCTGTTACAATAGAAGGGAATAATAAACACTTAAATGCTTTTGGAAAAAACCTGTCTATGAACAAAATCAATGAATGTTTTTATATATAAATAGATAAAACTGGTAGCTATTTGGCTAAATTCAAATCTAAGTGTAATCTTGTGCATCCCAATTGAGAGAAAAGCATATAGGCTTAGTTCACATTCTGGGTTTGTTTTTTGTTTTTTGTTTTTTTAATCCTGTGTGGCTTCCATAGAAGGCTTGTAATTTTGTCTGTATGGGATACTGTCATTGTGGAAGGGAAAACCATACATTTGACACTGTTTAACTGGCGGTTTGTGGAAGGCTTGTTGAGCTCTTTCTGAGCCATGTCACTGAGTTAAAGCACCTGCCCTGGAGTGACAATGCTCAGGTCTTGTCCCAGGTCTCATTAGGTGCCAAGAAGAGCGATTGTATGTAGGTTTAGAGTGGGGAAGCAGCTACGTAAAGAGAAATAACCCTCCTTTTCCACAATGCTTTTAATAAAATGTCACTCCGACAAGGATGTTAGCCTTGCAACCTTAAGGGTCTGTCTTCAGCTGCCTCTCGAATACAACTTTCTGTGATTGCTTGAGGGACAGATTTAGGCAGAAGCTTGCGGTGGAGGATCTGTCCCGTAGGCCATGGCCATGCCGGATGCCTGCCTCTTGCTTCACTGGGCTGGCGGCTGCATTTCCCTTTATGTGACTTTTTCAGTAGCCAGACCTTACTGAAATTGGGAGTATGTCTGAACAAGTTGTTTGAGCCGACAGCATGGCGACTGATAGCGAAAGCAAATTCCTTCTGTAGGGACAG